AGAATAATGAACTACTTTTTCTTTTCTGAAATATTATAGTAAATTTGTTCTAGTAAAAATTTGCACAGGGTAATTTTCATTTTTGAGATCAGTAATCTAAGGGTAAGGTGTTCTTTGACCAAGACCACACAGGAACATCATGAATTAAATACTATGTTTCTGGATTCTGATTCCAGCACTACTGTGCCAGATTACATTGAAAGTAAATATAGCCACGTATTAATACACCAATGTTGCAAAATTTGCCGCTTTATTTAATAGAGTAGGTCTCGTGGGTTTTTTCTTTTTTATATGAGGGTCTCCTGTCTACATCAAAAGGCTTCTCAGACCCCACTGTGATCCTCTGTGAAGTCTGTTTTTTATCTGCATGGATTGATAGATCAATTCAGGTATCTAGTCATCCATGGACCTATGACTCATAGGTTGGACAATCCTGAAATATTTTAATAAATTAGTCAATGAAATTTCAATACATTGCTGTCATTTCCTATTTATGGTATCATACTTATTATAAAGTACTATTCAGTGTTTCTGCACATTTTTCATTCATACAGTTCTCAAGAAATTTGGTTTTATTGTGCCATCTACTGGAAGTGTTAGGTATGACACTTATGAAATTTCAATACATTGCTGTCATTTCCTATTTATGGTATCATACTTATTATAAAGTACTGTTCAGTGTTTCTGCACATTTTTCATTCATACAGTTCTCAAGAAATTTGGTTTTATTGTGCCATCTACTGGAAGTGTTAGGTATGACACTGTGCTGGCAACTTAAGTACTTTACTGAGTACAAATGGTACTTTGGCTGATTTTATCATTGTGTACTGATGAATATTTGATTTTCCTTCCTTCCTTTTAAGATCAATATGTGGTTCTGAATTTTGTTATTTGTTTAATCATAATCCTAGAAGAATTTGTCTCCCTCCCACTCTTGTAGAATTGTTATAATCATGCCATGGCTCTGGAACAAGGAGTGAATTTTAAGTTTTATAATTTACATGTGTTTTTGGATTTAGCACCTCAAATTTTACTTTGTATTAAATAAATTCATAATTAAGAAATCTTTGTTTTTCAAAACTAGTACCTACTCTGAAATTCTGTATGTTTTGCTTTCTGCTCTTCCTTTTAAATTTTTTGATAATATTTGTTTTGATTTAAGTATTGCCTTCTCAACTTTCCTCTTGTCTAGGTCTTTAATTTCTCTGCCTTCTCTGACTCCATCCACCATTCTATAAACACAATCACAGAACTTTCATAAAAATACAATAAAATAAAACCCCTCTTGAGCCCTACATTTCAGTCTGCCATCTAATTCTTCCCCTTACTGTAATAGCCAGACTTCTGAAAGAAGAATCTGTAATTGCTTTTTCATCTTATTTTCCACTCATTCTTTATCCCATTGTACTTTTGCTTCTGCTTCTACCAACTCTCTCCAGGGAAGAGGAAGAACATTTGCAAAGTCATGGGAAGTTGAAGTGGTGTGGTGTAGTCAACAGGTTTAAGGCCAGTGCTAGTACAGATGGTTGTGGAGCAGTGTGTGAGGGCTGTCTTGTGGAGGTCTTATATTCTGTTCCAAGGAGCTCAGGTTTTCACCTATTTGGGCAAAGGAAGCCATTAAAGGGTTAAGCAAAGGAGCAGAGTGCACCACCCTCCACTTCCAGCAACTCAGTCCTTGTGTTCTCCTGGGGTGGTGCTTTCAGCAGTTGTAAAACTGGGAATCTAGTTAGGAGGCTATCATGGGCATTGTGAGGGATGATGAGGGAAGAGTGCTGATCAGTACTCTTCTATAATAGTGTGAGAATATATATAAATTGTTTTTGAAATATAAACATTTATTAAAATATAAGACGTTTTTGTGCTTTAGAAATGGTTGCCTAGTGTGATTAGCATAATAGTTATTGTATTTAAACTCTTCCATGTCTGAAGTTCAAATTAACTTATTCTTTGTCTCAACACAACTGATGTCATTGGCATTATTTCACATGACAGCATTCATGACACCAAGTCTGCCGCTACTTTCATTCACTGAACATACAACAGTGTCAGTGTGGTTGCGGCTTCTTGTTGGTTCTGTGGTGTTGCAGTAAGTCTCAAAGTCCAGTAAGCACTGCAGTGTGGTCAGAATGTCATCGCTGATGATCAGTTTGGTAATTCACATTTATTTGAAGCTGTGGCTCTGATTGTCAGATTAGGTCCTCCAACACTGACAGCATTGTCAGTGACAGTATAAGATCTACTTCCACTTCCTGACAGCATCCGGGAGCGGTCAGCCAACCCTGCTTACTCTCAGCCCTCACAGTCACTAGCAAGGGCACCTTTTCTCCTGCCTGTCAGGGAATACAGTGGTTGACCACATACTTTAATCTACATTGACCTCGTCTTCTATATTTTTATCTTTATTTCCCAGTATTTCCCTTTATGAAAACTTTGTCTTTCCCACTTTATTCTATCGTTAGTGTGAATTTTATTTGTTTTTATTTTTATTTTTTCAAAAGATGACCGGTAAGGGGATCTTAACCCTTGACTTGGTGTTGTCAGCACCACGCTCTCCCAAGTGAGCTAACCGGCCATCCCTATATAGGGATCCGAACCCGTGGCCTTGGTGTTATCAGCACCGCACTCTCCCGAGTGAGCCACAGGCCGGCCCTTGAGTTTTATTAATTAGAAATTGAAGTCATTTTGGTCTTAGTTTTTTTTTTTTTTTTTTTTTTAAGAAAATTCTGAACCTGAATTAGTTTTCTTTCTTTAAAAATCTTATTGAAAGTCTTTTAACAATTATGTCTGCTGACAAAATAAAACCAATTTTAAATATCTACCATGTTTGCCAACATAGAAAAAACTGGTAAGGTGATATGAAAAAAAATGCGTAGTTGCCTAGCTAAATATATTCATTTTAATAGGTGTATACGTAATGCCATATTTGAGTGTTAAAGTTTCACGTTAATGTTTGAATTTTTTCTACTTAGTTATGTTTTGTAATTATTTTAGAACCCCAGAATATCGAAGATGAAGTAAAAGAACAAATTCAGTCCCTTCTCCATGAAACGATATACACAGAACATGGTATGAATTAAAACCTACTGTTTTGTCATAAGTTGCTAAAATAATGTTTAATTCCATAAAATGACTTGGACATTATGTTAAAATTTAAATGTTAATTGGGTGTTTGGGTTATTTAAAAACATTTTTTATTCTAAGATATTTGAGGGCTATTTCTGAAATAGCACTAGACTTCATTTTACCCTCTCACTGTGCAGTAACTTATTGCATATACCAAAGAAATTGTAGGAATAAATGAGAATAAGCAAATTAAGATCAGTGATCCATCAAAAATAGACAGGAGGACAGAGAGGAGGGAAACAGAACACAAGCAAACTGTGATGGGTTATCTAGGTGCTATCCTCAACCCTCACATTTTGCATTAAGCGTGGCTGGTGGAGAAACTTTTTGTTATATAGGT